GGCATGGAAGCTAAGGCAACTGGATCCCAGATAACCAACTATGTACTTTGAGTTCTGAACCCAGTGGCTTAAAAATATGCCAACATGTGTTGCATGCATGCAAAAATCCTAAGAGGAAGGAGAAGGGACGGCAGCATGGCAAACTTCCATAGACAATGTTTTCCCACATTCCCTCCCTGCCGTCTCATCCCTCTCTCTCTCTAGTCTCTCTCTGGAGAGTGAATGTATCCCTACAGCAAAAGACAAGCAGATGGTTTAAGGATTGCATCACTGGGCTCTCACTTAGTTGACTGCGGTTCGAGTCCTGGACCCAGTCACTTAAACTCATGCCGGGCACATGTGCATGCATGCCCATGATCCCAAGAGGAGAATGGAGAAGAGGAGATTGTGGGGTGGCCTTCCCCTCCTAGGAGTAATTTCTCTCTTTCTGTCTCTGTCTTTCCGGCAAGTTTATGCACCTTATATCAAAAATCTTTTTTTAAAAAACAAGAAAAACTACAGGACACACTAGACCCCCTAGCCTAGGCATTGAGGAAGCCAAATCCCACATGGCTGACCACAATCTGAATCCCAGCCCCAATGGCTTGAAAAATAAGCCAGTTACGTGTACAAGTATGCCCAAAATCTGGACTGAATGGAGAAAGGACTGAGGCATGTGCCTTCTATGCAAAATAAATAAACTCTCTCACACATACATACACATACACAACTGCACAGAACAATTAAAAGCAAATGCTTACTCACAGACTGTCACTGAAATTTTGCTCTACCAAAATTCATGAAATAACCAAGTAACCCAAAATAAACCAATAAATGGTAAAGGATTAATGTTCTGAGAGTAACCAGAAAATATGTATAAGACTAAGCTTTTAATTGGTAATATACTACATACTTCAATATCAATATCTTTGAATGCTTTGGCACCCAGTTCTGTTTTCTTGATCTGCTCCAAACGCTCACGAACAGTTTTCTTTTTTATTTGTTCATGCTCCTGTAAGATACGCTCCTTCTCCCTCTCCTTTGCCTCCTGGCGCAGCCTCTCTTCTTCAGCCTTCCGTACTTTCTGGAGTTCAGCTTCTCGCTGCTCCAATTCTTCTTTCTCACGCTGAATATTCAGACTCTCAAGCCGCTCTTTCCTTTCCTCAATTGTCTGTCGGCGAGCCAGGATACGCTGATGCTCTTTTCGTGAATTTTTAAGATACGCAGTAACAGCCAGCTGATGCTGTTCTTCTTTCTCTTGCTTTAAAAGCAAACGCATTTTTAAAAAGTGATTAATAATAACATACTCTGGTATTAGACCTCAAAGAAATTACACAATAATCCTGATTCACTGCTCTCCTCTAAGTTTGCATTTACTAAAAAAATGCTATAACCTGACCTGGCTGTTTCCAGCACACCAAATGCTGTGATACTTCTCCTATTCTATAGTTTCCTAACAGTGATGACAGAACTGAAGAGTTTATTTGCTGAGTCAACTTTTCTCTACATCAAATCTACCTTAAGTGATTTAACCAAGGAGGAATACTAACAGAGCTCACAAACAAGAAATACCTTCAAGAAGAAAAAAGTTCAATTACTACAGTCCTGTTTTGGAGTGAAGAAATATGCAGTCTATTATTTTATTTAACATGACCCATACTATTACCTGTACAGTATATTTTATTGCATAGAAGGCAGCTCAATGATTTCTATATCTGATATAGGTATTTGATGAAATAACAAAACTACTAAATTCAATGGAATAGGAAATACAGAATAAATCCCCTTTTCTCTGATACCATTTCAAACCTTTTTGTGAAAGATTTAAGTCCCTCGAAATTCTGTAATTCGTTTCCCCTCCAAAGATGCATACCAGTATATGAGCAGGCTTAATGACTTCAAGTGCTTTTGCAAGTACTGAAGACATGGCTGTAAGCTGATTTCTTATCTGCTCTGAAGGCATGCTTTGCAAATGAGGACCAATTGGAGCATCTTCTCGAGTAGCATAATTCAAATCAGATCCAAAACTAAGGGTCCGAGAAGTGTGGTCAATACGAACCTTTGAAAATTAAATAATCAGTGGTTAAATATATATGTAAACATGAAGTCACTCTACAAATAAATGTCTTTTGAAATAAAAATTTAACAGTTTGAAAATAAAATTAGCAAAAGAATGTTAAGTACAAAAGTTAGAAGATTCACTCAGTAAAACCTAGAAATGGTGCCACTGCATCAAAAGCTAAGAAACAAATGGTTTGTGTCTTTCTAATCCTCCAAAGACCTCTGGCTTCAGCATCCTTTCATAAAACATACCTGCAGGTCACAGTGCCTGGCTGCATCAACTATGGCCCGTTCCAGTTGGAAAGCATCAACAAAAGGAACCAGAGAGGTCAAACGAGAAAACTCAATGCTCTGATAAATCTGTGCCACCTGCATAAAAAACACAGGGTTAATAGTAATAGCTGCCATTTATTCAGCATTTGTTATGTGCAATCCCATGACAGCCTTGGGACACAGAAGTTATGCCCATTTTTCAGAGAAGGAAAAGAAAAATTCCGAATTTGTACTAACAGTATACACTGCTGAAGAGGAAATTCCAATTCCAGATCTTCAACTTTAAACTCTGTGCTTTACACTATCACATTATTCCTCAAATGCATAATACTTTCAAATTCTAGTTTCACAAAACAAACAAAAGAGGCATATACTTAAAGACCTTCTGGCCAGCCCAGAAGGCTACAGTTTTAAAGAGCACTGAATCTCACTGAATCTCAGCCACGGTTCAAATCACAAACCCAGAGCCTTGAAAATCATGCCAAGCACATGTACTTGTCATGCCCAAAATACCCAAAGGATGGACAAATGAAGAAGAGATTTGCAGAATGACCACATCCCACTGGAGGGGTGCTTTCTCCCGCTCTATTTTGGGCAAGTGCAGGGGCCCTCTGGCAAATTTTTAAAACCTGCTACTTATCTAATACATAAAAAGTCTTTTTGTTTTCCTTTAAGAGAGGTTTTTGCTATAGGGAATGTGTGCTCACTGCAAAGACAGAACAGAAAGCGAGAATGAGCCGGGTGTGAGTTTAGGCTGCCGGGTATGGGACTCAAACCTCAGTCAACTATGTGGGAGTCCAGCTATGTGACCATTACATCATCTGCTGGTCCCAAACCACTTTTGGGGGCCAGCAGGTGACATGGTGGTTAAGGTGCTGGACTCTCATTTGGCTGACCCCAGTTTGAGTCTCAGTCCTGCTTTCCTACTTTCTCTCTCTCTCTCTCTTTGGTCAAATTAAAACTAATAATGATAATGATAATATATGAAATAAAATAATTCTATTAAAAAATCACTTTTAAAGGAAAAAAAGCATTTTTTGATAGATATTTTTACTACAGGGCACATGTACTGTCAGAGGAAAAAAGAGGGACAGAAAGCAAGAAATCGCCTCCCACGGAATGGCCACAGGGTCATCCCTTCTCCTCCATTCTGCTCTTGGGATTCTGGGCATACATACTCATGCACCCAGCATTATTTTCAAGCCCATCAGGTCCAGGACTTGAACCAATTGGCCATGTGGGGATACAGCACCTTCACTACTATGCCACTTGCTGGCCTCTCACTTGTGGTAAAATTTTTATAATTTTTATGTCTGAAGGAGACTGGCAGCATTACTATTTATAGTTATACTGCTAATTAACCTTCAACAATCTGTATAGCACATAAGAAATAACACTGCTTACATTATACAATAGGAAGCAGGTCAATGAAATGTGCACTTCTACTTGAAATGAACATATAAGAGCCCTTCCATCTCCCAAAAGAAATGCAAACTAAATCAGAGCATTTAGGCCATTATAAACCATAATATCCAAACTTACTCAAGAAGATAGACTAAGATGTTAAAAGATAATACCTAGCATTGACAGAAGGGAAAAAAGGCTGTCTAATTCACTACTGGTTTATCCATTAACCAAGTCTTCTGAAAATCTACTAAAACTTTCAATGTGTGAATTCTGACTAATTACATTTCTTAACTATGACGAAGATGCACTTATGGAGGCTACACTTTTTAATAGGAAAAACTGTAAATAATAATTTTCATGAATAAAATCTAATAAACTATGGTATCATTAATACTATTAAGGAAAATCTCAAGTATTAATATGAATGAAATAGCCCTATATTATAACAGGAAAATGTGGAGTGTTCAGCAAAAAAGAAACAAGTGGTCACAAAATATCCAAATAATTGGTTGTCAAATGGATAAATGAGATGACTCATTTTGCAGGGGCAGAACTGGGAGAAACTTTAACTTCCTAGGCAATTCTAACTTTTTCAATTTTTAATTGTGGGATCGAAACATACAACCAAAGAAGGAAATTCTAGGTCTTCCATAATACATTCATTTTCATTTTACCTGCTGCAAAAGGCGTAGTATGGTGTTGTTCTGCAGTTGTGGGACATACTGTTGCAACTCTGGTTCCTTTTCAGGTTGTTCTCTAACCCAGTTAAGAACCTATAAAGCCCATTAAATAAAAATAATTATAATTTCTATGTAACACGTCTGAAATTTTACTTTAATATGTAAAAACATCATACAAAAAAATGTATCATAAAGTCACGGATACTTGTTTGAAGGTGACTGACAGCAATGACTAAATTAATCATGCTGCTAATTTTCCTCCAAAGGTTTATTTAGCACATCAGAAATATCTTTTCTCTTGATAAACAGAAAAAAGACAATGAAATGTGCACTGAATTCAAGTACGTAGGATAACTTCTCTCTTAAATGGAAATACAACCCAAAACTGTACTAAGGCCAGCTACACAGTTACATAACCAAAACGTAACTACAAAGGCTTACCTTTGTGACTCTCTCACAGAGTTTCAATGGATTAAATTCTACTTCCAGCCAATTATAAAGGTCTTTCACTTCTGGGACAACATACTGCAGTACATTGAATCTGACCTAGGGTAAACAAATCAAAAGATACAACTGCTGAAGAAAATTTTATAACTTCAGATTCTTAACAGAGTATAAAAAAATTAATTAATTAATTAATTTAAAAAACCATAGGATTGGATATCTGGAAGATGATTCAATGTCTAGGCAACCTTTAAATTTACCGAAGAGGAATCTAAAGCCCAACTCTGTTGACCTCTTGTCTCAGACATTTAGGCTGCATGCATCTGTATGAACTTCATGTTGCACCCTATGTCACATGTTGGGAACTATTAACCCAAGGACAGAACAACTGCCAAGACATAGCAAGACTCAAAAGTATATATAGTAATGTGCACCCATATGGACTCAGTCAAAACACTAAGGCAAATGGTAAAGCCCGTGCCCAAGAGGAAGGTGACCACATAGTTAAGCTGAACTCCAATGTACAATAGGCACATGACTAATAACCTCGAATAGCAGAATACTTCCCTTTTTTTTAAGAGATTTCTGCTACAAGGGTACATGCACTCACTGCAGAGACAAAGACAGAGGGAAAGAAAGTGAGAAATCGCCCCCCAGGGGTCAGACAAACCGCAATCCCTTCTCCTCCATTCTTCTCATGGAATTTTGGGTACGCAAGAACATGTACCTGGCGTGAGTTTTAAGCCACCGGTCCGGGACTCAAACTGCGGTCGACTACGTGGGTGTCCAGCAACATAAACATTACACCATCTGCTGGTCCTCATAGTTTCCTCTCATAAGCATCTCTGCATCTTTACTGAAATAAGGTGTGGTTTACACATTCAAATAACGTTCCCCCAGGTCTAATTTCATTCCCAACAAGAAGTTATTTTAGGGACCAGCAGTTGGCATAATGGCTACGTCGCTGGATTCCCATGTAGTCGATTGCAGTTCGAATCCCAGACCTGATAACTTAAACTCACACCAGGAGCATGTGCATGCGGGCCCAAGATCCAGAGACAAGAATGGAGGAGAAGGAATTGCGGCGTGGCCATCCCCCCTGGGAGGTGATTTCTCACTTTCTGTCTCTGTTTTTCTGGTGAGGGCATGTGCCCTAGAGCAAAAACCTCCCCACCCCCCCCCAAAAAAAAGTGCTTTTATACTCTCCATTTCACTCCCTCTCCAAACAGGTAAGAAGTTATTATAACCTGCTAATTAACATTTCTCACTAAACTAATTGACTTTCTGATTTAATAATTGCTTAAGAACGTCATAAATTGGGACCAGCAGTTAGCATAATGGCTATGTCACTGGACTCCCACGTAGCTGACCGCAGTTCGCGTCCTGGACCCAGTGGCTTAAAACTCATGCCGGGCGCGTGTGCGTGTGTGCCCAAGATCCCATGAGAATGGAGGAGAAGGAATTGCGGCGTGGCCATCCTCCCTGGGGGGTGATTTCTCACTTTCTATCTCTCTGTCTGGCGAGCGCACGCGCCCTATAGCAAAAACCTCTTAAAAAAAAAAGAATGTCATAAATTTTAGTCTTGAGATAATGAAAACATTGTTTTGGTCTTAAAAATTCAGTGATATGAGCCCAAAGCTCAGTTGTTGACCTTGGATTTCCAATACACTCACCAAAATTTATAAATGTCTCTTGGAGGGCAACTATTCGTGTGACTCCGACCAGTATCTTTCTTTTATACTTCTACTCTCTAAGGGCATAATCCAGAGGTCCTGGGCTGCTGGTCAAGTACTCCCTGCTTCCTGTCACTAATCCCCGAGTCAGTATTAAAAAAATTACCTTTTGAGTCAGCCTCATAACCTAATGGCTAAGATCAGCCAGAACCCCTATGGCAGGCTATCCAAGTCCCAAAGTTCGGAACACATGCCAGGCGCATGTGCAAGTGTGCCCCAAAGCCAAAGAGATGAAGAAATTAAGGGATTGCAGCATAATTGTGCCTCATTTTTCTCTCCCTCTCTCTCTGCAGCAAACACATGGGCCCTTCAACAATTGAAAACAAATTATTTCTTAAATCAATATTATAAAAACCACCTTGGGCCAGCAGGTGGCATTGGATGCTACATTGTTGACTGAATGGTTTGAGCCCCAGACCCAGTGGCTTAAAAAACACACTGGTTGCATCTGCCAGCATGCCCAAAATCCTGAGAGAAAAATGGAGGAAGAAAGAATGTGTGGCATGTTCATCCCCCCCAGGGGTCCTCACTTCTCTCTCTCTCTCTCTCGCTCACTCGCTCTCGCTAGTGCACATACCCTATAGCAAATAAAAGAAGTACACATGCTCTCTATAGCAAAAAATAAATAAAATAAAAATAAAAATAATTAAAAATTAAAACCACCTTTAAGATGAAGATGTGATATGTAGACACAGGGGTTCAAAGGACTGCATTATACTTCTAGTTGGGCATATTTCTTCAGCTTTGAAAAGCAAGCACAAATATTTAAAACCTATGTGCTGGATCAGTCCAATAACCTTGAGGTTTAAGGGAGCTGGATCCCACATAGCTGACCAATTTGATTCTTGACCCCAGCAGCTTAAAAAACACTCCAGGTACGTGGGACCAGCGGTTAGCATAATGGCTATGTCGCTGGACTCCCGTCTACTTGACCGTGGTTCAAATCCTGGACCCAGCGGCTTAAACTCACATCAGGCGCATATGCCCAAGATCCCGAGAGGAGAATGGAGGAGAAGGGATTTCGGTGTGGCCACCCACCCCGGGGATGATTTTTCGCTTTTTCTTTCTCTCTTTCTCTCTCTCTGTCTGTCTTTCTGGCGAGTGCACACGCCCTATAGCAAAAACCTCTCCAAAAGGAGGGGGGAAAAAAAAATCCAGGCACACATACATGCGTGTCCAAAATCCTAACAGGATGGAGGAGGGATCATGTAGTGATCATGCACGATTTGGAAGTTTTCTCCCTACCCTCCATCACTCTCTGGAAAGCATATATGCCCCCTGGCAATTTTTTTTATTTTAAATTCAGCAATAAAACGCCCTTTCAAAAATATCACTGTTACTTTATAAGATTTAGTGTTGTTGGGTCCCATAATAAAAGACTGCCCGAGGACCAGCAAATGGAATAATGGTTATGTCCCTGGACTTCCACATAGCCAACCGCAGCTCGAATCAGACCTGGAGACCTAATACTCATGCCAGGAGCATGCACATGTGTGTGTGTGCATGCCCAAGATGTGGACAGGAGAATGGAGAAGTGACTACAGAGTGGCCATCCACCCTGGCAAGGTTATTTCTCGCTTTTCAGCAAGCACATGTACCCTATAGCAAATGTCTCTTTTTTTAAAAGAAAACAAAGCAAGGGGGACCAGCAGTTGGCGTAATGGCCATGTTGCTGGACACCCCTATGGTCAACCATGGTTCGAGTCCCGGACCCAGTGACTTAAACTCATATTGGGCCCGTGTGCATATGTGCCCAGGAACCCAAGAGGAGAGTGGAAAAGGGACTGCGGCGTGGCCATCCCTCCTGGGGGGTGATTTCTCCCTTCCTGTCTCTGTCTTTCTGGCGAGCGCACATACCCTATAGCAAAAAGCTCTCCAAAAAAAAAAAAAAAGGCAGATGAGACTTGGGTAAATGTTTCTATTTGTAGATTTCTGAACATATCTAAGTGCTGGGGCTTTTTTTTTTTTTTTTTTGAAAAAGTACATTTTGATGTGGGTAAGTTTTATAAAATAATTTTGGCATAGAGAAAGAGTTTAAGCTTATGGAAAAAAGTTTTAATTGGTAATGATAATTGAGCCAAAAGTCAGGAGTGAAAATTTGATTGTGAATCATCAGGCAAAGAGCAATAGCTTTTAGAGTTGGCTTTGAATTTTTCCAAACTTTGCGGCAAATATTTAGAAATTAGTATTCAGAACAAAAGAAAGTTGAAAGTCACTATAGCTTTCTGAAAGAGGGAATGATGTTATCCAAACAACACTTATGCTAGCAGCTGTGTTGGGCTTCTTTAGTTGCCTTTCAGTTTATTGCCTGATTGCATGTAGCATTTCAAAATATTCAGACCTAGCGGTTGCTTTCTCATGTTCCCTTTCTCTCTGTCTTGCTCTGGTCAAATTAAAACATAATAATAACAAATGGGATTAAATAAAACTTAAAACTTTCCAAAACACAAAATTGAATTTTATGTGCGGTACCAACAGAGTAAAAGGCACACAAAGAAGAAAAATAACATTTTTCAATTTTTCTGTATTTCTTTTTTTTGGGAGAGGTTTTTGCTATAGGGCACGTGCGCTCGCCAGACAGAGGAGAGACAGAGACAGAAAGTGAGAAATCATGCCCCAGAGGGGATGGCCATGCGGCAATCCCTTCTCCTCCATTCTCCTCTTGGGATCTTGGGCACGCATGCACACGCGCCTGGCGTGAGTTTAAGCCACCAGGTCCGGGACTCGAACCACAGTCGACTACAGCTAAGTCCAGCAAAATTGCCATTACACTAACTGCTGGTCCAATTTTTCTTTATTTCTTAAAAACTATTTTTTTCTTTAGTTTTCTGACTTTGTGCTTGTGCCTTCAATACTTTCAAAACAATTTCTTGCTCCTCAATAAGGAAAGCATACTTCATCCTGTGATAGAAATATTTAGTACAGGCAGAGCCACCACAGAATTTGAAAACATGTTTTCCCATTTCGTTCAAAATCCTAATTTTATGTCGCACAGCATGGACACTCTAATGTCTGCCTGGGCACATGCCACATGCAGATTATGCAAACAGATGTTTCCCTGATCTTCTTGGTATAAAGGTAAAGAATTCTATTCCTGGGCCAACAGTTAGCGTAATGGCTATGTCGCTGGACTCCCACATAGCCCACGACGGTTCGAGTCCCAGACCTGGTGGCTTAAAACTCACGTTGGGCGCGTGTGGGTGCGTGCCCAAGATCCCAAGAGGAGAATGGAGGAGAAGGGATTGTGGCATGGTCATCCTCCCGGGGGGTGATTTCTCGCTTTCTATCTCTCTGTCTCTGTCTGGCGAGCGCACACGCCATATAGCAAAAACTGCTCAAAAAAAAAAAAAAAAAAAAGAATTCTATTACCAAGTGTTCAAGACAGCCTAGTTTTCTTGGAAGTTGTATTGTAGGAAAACCTATGCCACACGTCAAGTGCTGAACAATGCTAAGTGCCTCTAGACATCACCCATGAAGAGGAAAATAAAGAGAAGACTATTTTATAAATTGGTATCTCTCAAAAGTTAACTACAGGGACCAGCAATTAGAGTAATGACTATGTCGCTGGACTCCCACGTAGTCAACCACAGTTCTAGTGGCTTAAAGCTCGCGCTGGGCGTGTGCCCAAGATCCCAAGAGGAGAATGGAGGAGAAGGGATTGTGAAGTGGCCATCCCCCCTGGGGGGTGATTTCTCGCTTTCTATCTCTATGTCTCTGTCTGTCTGGCAAGCACACACACCCTATGGCAAAAACCTCTCCAAAAAGTAAAAAAAGTTTACAACAAAGGGAATTTACTTAGGTACCAGAAAATTGTATTTCTAGCAAAAAAAAATGTATCTAAAATGCTGATTAATTAAGGCCCTTAATCTTGGGACTTTTCCTTTCTTTTTTTTTTTTTTAAGAGGTTGTGAATGAGGATCTCTAGAATCTAAAGTCCCTCAGGGAACCAGCAGATGGTATAATAAAACTCCCACGTAGTCAACCATAGTTTAAGTCCCGGACATGGCGGCTTAAAACTCACACCAAGCAAGTGTGTGCATGTGCCCAAAATCCTGAGGACAATGGAGAAGGGACTATGGCTTGGCCAACCCCACCGAGGGGCAATTTCTAGCTTCCTGTCTGTCTCTGACTTTCTAACAAGCATGCACCCTATAGCAAAAATCTCTCTTAAAAAGTAATAAAAAAAAATAGGGACCAGCAGTTGGTGTAATGGCTATGTCACTGGACTCCCACATAATCGACTGCAGTTCCAGTCCTGGACCCAGTAGCTTAAACTCACACCGGGCACATGTGCATGCGTGCCCAAGATCCTGAAAGAACGGAGATGAAGGGATTACAACGTGTCCATCTCCCCAGGGGGGTGATTTCTCACTTTCTGTCTCTCTGTCTCTCTCTTTCTGACAAGCGCACGCACCCTATAGCAAAAACCTCTCCTCCTCAAAAAAAATAGTAATAATAAAAAATAAACCCCCTTGGAATATGAGTTCCACCTTAATTAATTATCACTTGCCAGGCACACAATAGGCACCAAATCAATTTTTCACTTCAAAGATTCTGTCAGTATGAAACACTGTAAAGATAAACAAATGATTTTTTTTTTTTTAATTCTTCAATTTGACCAGAGAGAGAGAAAGATGAGAAAGCAAGCCACCAGTCTGGGTCTTGAACCATAGTTGGCCATCTGGGAGTCCACCACCTTAACCACCACATCATCTGCGGCCCCAAGATACACAAATCTTAAGCTCTACATTCTAAAACTAATGCAATAGATCTCATGGGTAAAACCTAGAACTCTGTTTTCAGAAGTACTTAACATACAATTTTGCTGCAAGCTCCCAGTTAAGAACTATTGCTCTGGGCCAACTCTGTGGCAACAGCAGCCATGAACTACTCAAAAGAAGTTGGATCGGACATGGTGAGCCCAGTTCAAATCCCTGGCTCAGTCATCTGAAATATGACAGGCATGCTCACAAGTACCCAAGATCCAACGGGCTGAAGGACTAGATGAAGGGATTGACACGGCACAGCCAGACGATATGTAAAGTGTTCCTTCCTTCCTCCCCATCTCCTCATGCCTGAGCACGTGCACTCTATCACGAATAAAGAAAAACAATTTCTTAAAGAACCACTGCTTTAATAACATACAGTTTAAAAAAGAAAAACAGGGCCGGCAGGTGGCATGGTTACAGGTGCTGGACTCCCATAAGGCCAACCACGGTTTGAGTCTCGGGCCTGGTGGCTTGCTTTCTTGCTTTCCCTTTCTCTTTCTGTGACTGGTCAAATTAAGAAATAATAACAACAAATGTAGCTTAATAATTCTTTTCTTAAAAAAATAAATAACAGGAAAACATTATAATACTATAATTGTGCAAAATCTATCCTAAATCTACTTCATCTTTCTCCTAGCCTCCTTGTATTTCCAACACGGGAGCTAATTAGTTTTCCTACAATCCTCTGAAATAAGCCATGAACTTTCCTGCCCATCATTACTTTTCCTCTTACAGAGTGGCCCATCAGATTCCTCAGAGCCAGTAGTCCAAGTCCTGGTACACCAAAGCTCCCACCAGTTTAATCCCAGCTCATCCACTACAAGAACTCATAAATAAACATGGTGATTTACACTGGTGATTCCCTGTCCACGCAATGGAACCCCCTGATAATAAATAAAAATTCCTAGCATTCAATAGTGAATTATTAAACCTAACCACAACGATTTCTGTCAAAAGGCATGAAAATGCTCAATTATATACTAACCATATCATTAATAAGGCCAATTCGTGTGGGTGGGGCCTGAAGACCTAGTAGTGTTGCAAGGCGACGCTGTTTTTCAACTATAATGCCATCCATATCCAGAAGGCGAGCAATATCAGTACGCTCAGGGGTAATAGGGATGGAAAGAGTGGCCAAAAGGACTCTAGTAGACATTCTGTGGAGAGCAAAATTGAATGTTAAGTTAGTAAACATTATCTATTAAACAGAAAACCACTCCTCTTTAATCACTGCTAAGATATACCAGTGACAGAATATATAAATTTCCATGGTGGAGAATATTCATAAATATTATTCTGTCATAGTATGAAATTAATTAAGAGATATGGACTATGTTTCAATGAATATTTAGAGATCAGAATTTCACTCACCACTTACTACTGTCAATACTTTCTAGCTATAGGAAGAACGTGGTTACATGAGGGGAAAAAAAGGTATTTCAAACACCCCTTACTTCCTTACAGAAAGAATTAACACAGCTTTAAAAACCATTTACTGGGGCCAGCAGATGGCTAAGGCACTGGATTCCCACATGACCAAATGCAGTTCAACTCCCAGACCTAGAGGCCTGAAAATCATGCAAGGTATGTGTGTACATGCCCGAAAGCCCCAGAGAATAGAGGAGGGATTGCAGCATAGCCATGCCCTGTTGGGGAGTGATTTCTCACTTTCTGTCTGTTTCTCTCCAGCAACCACAAATACCCTCTATGGCAAAAACTTTAAAGTAGGTTTTTTTCTCTAAAAAAGGAAAATAAATTTACTAAATAGCAAGAGGGGAAAAAAATATAAGGACCAAAATTGAATACGATTATAGTAGTGAAGGAAAGAAGCAAAAAGTTAAGATTTTCACCTTCATGAAATGTAAGAGAACATTCAGGTTGAATTCAGGGCACATATAGGACAGTAAGGATCATGATTTCTGGAGCCCAGAAGTCAGGAGTGTAGTATCAGCTTCACCATTTCTAAGACTATAACCTCTGGCAAGATACTTAATTTTCTGAGTCTTAAGGCCACTATAAAGATTAAACAAAAAAATGTAAATATTGCCTAAAATTCATCATTGTAGAATTCTCAAAGGGAGGGCATAAATCTCTTTTTTGGAAAGGTTTTTGCTATAGGGCTCGTGCGCTCTCCAGAAAGTCAGAAAGAAACAGAAGGACAGAATGCGAGAAATCACGCCCCCCCCCGGGGGATGGCCACGCCACAATCCCTTCTCCTCCATTCTCCTCTTGGGATCTTGGGCACACGGGCACACATGCACAGGCGCCGTGCAGGAGTTTAACCCACCGTGTCCAGGACTTTAACCACGGTCGACTACGTGGGAGTCCAGCAACATAGCCATTACGCCAATAGCTGGTCCCAATAAATTTCTTGTTTTTTAGTGCTAGAGGATGAGTGTGTTCACCAGAGAGGCGGATAGAGAGAAAGCCCCCTCAATGAGACACGGTCCCATCACAATTCCTTTCCTCCCATCAGGATTTTAGACACACGGTACATGAGCCTGGAGTGTTTATCAAGCAACTAGGACTAGGATTTCAACTACTGTGGATCACCTGGGATCTGGCTATAGGGTGAGCCCAAGGAGGGTATAAAAACCCTGAAAAATGGGGGCCAGCAGATGATGTGGTGAAGGCACTGTGTATCCCACATGGCTGACCAGGGTTTGATTCCTAGACCTGGTGGCTTGTTTTCTCACTTTTCCCCCCTCTCCCTCTCTCTCTCATCAAAGTAAAATAAATAAATAAAATTATAAAAATAATTCTTTTAAAAATTCTGAAAAAAATTTTTCTTATATTGAACACATGGATTATATAAGAAACACTGAAGGACAAAATAGACACCATCTCCAAGAGTTTCAAAGAAAATACATCAGCAGATGGTGTAATGGCTATGTCACTGGACTCCCGTGTAGTCGACCGCGGTTCGAGTCCCGGACCCGGTAGCTTAAACTCACAACAGGCACATGTGTGTGCATGCCCAAGATCCCAAGAGGAGAATAGAGAGGGGATTGTGACGTGTTCATCCCCCCAGGGGGTGATTTCTCGCTTTCTGTCTCTCTGTCTTTCTGGCGAGTACACATGTCCTATAGCAAAAACCTCTCCAAAATTAAAAAAGAAAAAAAAAAAAAAAAGAAAGAAAAAATACACTAGCAGAAGTCATTTAATTGGTTCTATTCATTGCTATAAAAAAATATTTAAAAAAATTTTGGTGCACATAATTCTACATCAAGTCAAAATACTGTGGCCTACCAAAATGAGGGGGAAAAAATGTGACTGGGGCCAACCTTTAAGTACAATAGTTGGGGAAGCCAGATCCCACAGAGCCAACCACAGCTCTAATTCTCATACTGGCAGCTTGAGAAACAACATGCACATGTGCATGCTTGCCCAAAATTCAGATGAGAGAGAATAATGCAGGGAAAAAGACTATGATGTAACCGCACCCCACGTTGTTGGCTTGGGGAAAAAACATGCAGATTTGTGTGCATGTGTGTCAAAGATTCCAAGAGGAAAACGGAGAGGAAACCAGCAGGTAGCATAATGGCTATGTCGCTGGACTCCCACATAGTCCACCACAGTTCGCGTCCCAGACCCAGTAGCTTAAAACTCAGGCCGGGCGCGTGTGCATGCGTGCGTGCCCAAGATCCCGAGAGGAGAATGGAGGAGAAGGGATTACCGCGCGGCCATCCCCCCTGGGTGGTGATTTCTCGCTTTCTGTCTCTATGTCTCTCTGCCTGGCGAGCGCACACGCCCTATAGCGAAAAAACCTCTCCAAAAAAAAAAAAAAGAGGAAAACGGAGAAGGAATTTCAGCATGATCATCCCCCATGGGGTTCTCTATCACTTTCCCTCTTTCTCTCTCTGACAAGTGTATATTTTTATTATTATTTTTATTATTCATCCATTTACTTTAATTTAACCAGAGGGGGAAGGAGGGGGGGAGTGAGAAAGCAAGTGTATTTTAAAAAATTAAATTAAAATAGGAAACAGCAGATGACCTAACGGTTACGTCGCTAGACTCCCATGTATAGTTGACTGTGGCTCAAGTTAAAACTCACGTCAGGCACATGTGCGTGCATGCCCAAAATCCTTAGAGGAGAATGGAGAAGGGATTGTGGTATGGCCATCCTCCCCACCCTGGGGGATGATTTCTCACTTTCTGTCTCTCTGGCAAGTGCACACAACCTATAGCAAAAATTTCTCTTTAAAGAAAAAAAAAAAAAAAAAGGGCCAACAGGTGGCACAATGCTTAAAGGAGCTGGACTTATACATGACTGACTACGGTTCAGATCTCAGACCTGGCAGCTTGCTTTCTCACTTTCTTTCTCACTCTAGTCAAAGTAAAAATAACAATAATGATAAATGAAATAAAGAAAATAATTATTTTTTAAAATTAAATTAAAATGGATCAGATCAGGGCCAGAAGGCATCATGGTTAAGGTGCTAGACTCTCACATGGCCAACCACAGTTTGAGTCCTGGACCTGGCAAGTTGCTTTCTCACTCTCTCTCTCTCATCAAATTAAAAAATAATAATAAAATTAAATAATTCTTTAAAAAAAAAAAATGGATCGAATCAGCCCATAGCCTAGTAGTCAGGGTGCTGGATCCACATGGCCAATTAAGCAATTTGAGTCCTGGATTCAGTCAGTGGCTTGAAAACAGCAGGCACATGTCCATACATGCCCCAAACCCCCAAAGGAGGGAGTAATGAAGAAGGGACTATAGTGTAACCATGCCACATGGAGAGTACTTTCTCTCTCTCCCTCTCTCAAGCACAGGATCCAGAAAAAAACAAATAAAAAACAATAGGTTAGTGAGTTTATAGACCCTTCTTTTTATATTCCTGCATGTGCACGCATGTACTTATCTCGAATATTCCATTTAACATTTTATAATCAGAAATGACTTGTTGAAAACTATTTCAAAGTTGTCTAGTTTGTTCTAATAATATTATTACTCTGTGTGTGAATAGAAGGTTCATACATTAACACCGTTTTTCCTAATATTCAACTTTTTCAATTGTGCCTTTGATGGAATTGATAACCAGACCAAAAAACAGGGACTAAAGACCAACAAGAATACTGCCCAAGAAATGTCTGGAGATGTCTTTGGTAGTAAGAACCAGAGAGCTTGCTGCTGGCATCTAAGGAATAAAGGCTAGTAACGCTGCTAAACATCTCATGACAGTGGTCCACAACAAAGAATTTACCAACCCAAAATGTCAACAGCGCAGAGCTTGAGAAACACTGACCTAGACCAACTACTATACCATTTGATTGATAGAAGATATATTCTGCATAATTTTAACACTATTCAACTATCACAGTCTTACCTTTGCATCTCATCCTGTGTAAGGTTCTTTCTCATTTCTCTAGACAGATGGTAAAGACGATGTAATGTAGAGGCATGAAAAAGTGCATTTCCAGATTTCCAAAACACAGTTGAGACTTTGTTATAATAATTTGCCATCAGCTGAGGTTTAGGTGGTTTTTTAGATAAGGAGAATAGCCCATGAATATCTTCCACAGCTTTAAATGCTTCCTAAAATTAGTAGTATAAATTACTGTCATTGGATTGTAAAAATAAATCTAAACTCAAATTTCTTAATGTAGCCTAAAAACAAACAAAAAAAAATGTAGCATATAAAACGCCTTCATAAAGTTTTTTAATTTTCCTACAACTTAGAATCTATTTGAGAAAACTACCTTAATTATAAAAATACTAATTCCTTAAGCTTCTTAAAGGTTCATTTGGGGGAACAAGCAGTTAGCATAATGGCTATGTCGGTGGACTCCCACGTAACAGACTGCGGTTTGCATCCCGGACCCGGTGGCTTAAAACTCACGCCGGGCGCGTGTGCGTGCGTGCCCAAGATCCTGAGAGGAGAATGGAGGAGAAGGGATTGCAGCGTGGCCATCCCCCCTGGGGGGGGATTTCTCGCGTTCTGTCTCTATGTCTCTCTCTCTGTCTGTCTGGCGAGCGCACACACCCTATAGCAAAAACCTCTCCAAAAGGAAGAAAAAAAAAAAGGTTCATTTGGAAGAACATTTCGTAAAGCAGACAGTACAGACTATAATGAAAGTATCTACACACTGTCATACCACTTGGTGAATATAAAGGAAAAAAAACTGAAAACATGTACAATAAGCAGGTCACTCCTTAGGTGAGATGATGAATATTTCTTTTTTTAGTATCTTTTCTTTTTAAATAACAAGCATGTTCGCTTGTCTTCTACTGACAGTATCTTAAGATGAGTGTCACTATAAAAAAAAAAAGAAAACATCAAGGGGCAAAAGTAGAAAACCAAATCACATTTTCACTTAGCTGACTAACTCCCAAATTAGTTTCTTCCTCTGTAATTTCAATGAGATGTTTTTGTCAAATATATAAAAACCTCTGAGTTACAGGGCTACAAAATCATGGGACAATGTCTTTGCACAATTCCTAGAGAAAAAAAGGCCAGGTAAAGAACAAGCTTCCCACCACCTCTTACATCTCTACTATCCAATGTTCACAATCCTTGCATGCTTACTAAGTTGAAGCAGTACTAGGAAGTCATATAGGGCAGCACTTCTCCAACTACCCATAGTAAAGGACAAGTTTTTTTTTTCACTTCCAATCTGTCAGCAACATATACTTACATAAAATTTCTACAGAAATAAAATAGAAAATGAGCTCAATTTGTGTCATCAGTAAACAATACAAAATTATGATAAAATTGCTATAAAGTAACTTGTAAATGCTTTCTATTTATTTCATCATGAACTTAACAGCTCAAACTGGCACCAGTCATGGAACCATACTTTGAGCAGCACTGACAGTATACTGCTTTATACACAAAGAAACCCTATCTGAAAGAGATTACATGATTTCTATGTATTTCACTGAAGCCAACTAGAACCGAAATATTCTAAGATTTCTTGTCCAGAATTTATCCTGCTCCACAGCTTATGGTGCTCACTTTATCACTAGGATTAACTAGTGCGTATAAAAATGAAGATACTCATTAAGGAGAGGAAAAGTAACACTAGGGTTACCAGAAAGAAGAGCTATCAGTTCACAACATACCTGCCACAATTCCATGCTGATAGCACTGTCCAACTGAACGAGCCTAGTTTCCAAATGCATGGACTGGCTCTCTGGATTATTAAGATTGATAGCTGTACTTTGGTTATGGTGCCGCTGAATCTGCGATAAGTGCATCCTCAAATTGTCACACAACTTACGGAATTCAGCCTTACGGGTGTATTGGAGGCAGAATTTGAAAGCTACAAGCATAATTGGAAAATACATTAGGTACTTTCCACAGTCAAATGATATGTGAATAGGTTTTATTTCACATATTAAAAGCAGTAATTTTAACAAGATTTACCAAAGTCATCTTTAGTCTTTGAATGTAGTATGACTAGAGTCATGCTACTACTGTCCTGAGTACCTTTTTGACCATACCCTGAGAAAACCAAAGATAGTATCACCAGTCCTAGCCAAGGATGGAACTGATTCTGGGCAAGCTGACAAACAGGAAAACGGACAGGTTCATTTGACAGTTAAGGCAGCTGAATCCCACATGGCCAACTGTATGGTTCGAGTTGAGGACCCAGCAACTTGAAAAACACCTCAGCCGTGTGCATGCCTGCCCAAAAATTCCAAGAGGATGAAGGGAGGACGGGTTGTAGCATGGCCTCCTCCCCTGAAGGGTGCTTTCTAATTCTCTCTCTGTCATTCTCTATTTGTGTTTCCAGAGAATGCACATGCTCTACAGCAAATTAAAAAAAAAAAAAAAAATTCTAGTATGAAATACCTGAACTTTGATATCTAACATACATGGAAAACAATTTGCTTTTGTATGAATTAAAACTACACAATACTGGGACCAGCAGTTGGCGTAATGGCTATGTAGCTGGGACTCCCATATAGTCAACAGTAGTTCAAGTCCCGGACCCGGTGGCTCAAACTCATGCTGGGAACGTGTGCGTGTGTGTCCAAGGTCCAGAGAGAATGGAGAAGAGACAGCAGCGTGGCCATCCTCCCTGGGGCAGGGAGATTTCTCACTTTGTGTCTTTCTTTCTGGTGAGCACACATGCCCTATAGCAAAAACGTCTCAAAAAAATAAATAAATAAAATAAACCTACACAATACAAATTGGGGACTTACAGAAATTTTCTAATCTCATTTTATACAATACTAGAATATTTTTTGGAATTCCTGTGCCCCTTAAAAAAATTGCATTTGGGAACCAGCAGATGGCATAATGATGGCATCGCTGTACTCCCATGTAGTTGACCACAGATCAAGTCCAGGACTCGGCTGCTTAAATTCACGCTGGGCACATGTGTGCACATGTCCAAATCCTGAGAGAAGAATGGGAGAGAAGGGAATGTGGTGTGGCCATCCCCCCTGAGGACTGATTTCTCACTTTCTGTCTCTGTATCTCTTTCAAGTCCACACACCCTATAAGAAAAATCTCTCTAGGACCAGCAGTTGGCATAATGGCTATGTTGCTGGACTCCCACATGGTCAACCACTGTTCAAGTCCCAGACCCGGTGGCTTAAACTCACGCTGAGCACATATGCATGCATGCCCAAGATCCTGAGAGGAGAATGGAGGAGAAGGGATTGTGGCGTGACCATCCCCCTGGGGGGTGATTTCTCGCTTTCTCTCTCTGTCTCTATGTGTCTGGCAAGCACACAAGCCTTATAGCAAAAACCTCTCCAAAAAAAAAAAGAAAGAAAGAAAAAAATCTCTCTCAAAAAAAAAAAAAAAGGGGGGGGGGGACCAGCAGGTGGCGTGGTGGTTGGGGCTCTGGACTCCCAATTAGTAGATAGTGGTTTGAGTCTGGGACCCAGTGGCTGGCTTTATCATTCTCCCTTTCTCTCACTCTCTGGTCAAACTGAAAAATAAATAAATAAAAATAAATTTTCTATTCTATTTCAACAGGCCTAAAACAAAGATACCATTAATTTCTAGCTATTAATAATATCCATATAAATAGCTATCAAAAAATAAGAAAGCCTAGGGGCCAGCAGGTGGTGTGCTGTTTAAGGGCGCTGGACTCCCACAAGGCCAACTGCAGTTTAAGTCCTAGACCTGGTGGCTTGCTTTCTCACTTTCTCTCTCTCTTTCTCTCTCACTCTGTCCCTCTCTGGACAAATTAAGTAAATAAATAAATAAAGTTAAATAAGTAATTCTTAAAAAAAAAAAAAAATTTTGGCAATGAGTAGGCCACCCAAAAAGAAAATGAAGATGAGACTGTGGCTTGGCCATCCCCCCTGGAGGGTGGCTATCTCACTTTCCCTTTTTCTCTCCCTCTTTTTCTCTCTGCCTTATAGCATGTTTATTTAACTAAATAAAAGCCTACATCTACTTGTTAAGTAAAAATTATATTAACCAAATAAACAAAAAAGAACACAGGCTCTCCAATATTTCCAGTAAAAACATTCTTAGTCATAAATCATTTCAGTAAACAAATGCCAATCATCCCTGTAAGACTGGCAACACAAACTGTACTGAGGGCAAAATAGAAAAAAGTCAAGAGCCACTCTTTAGTTACCTAGTCATACACAGTTTAAAAGGCTGCCTCCTGGACCAGCAAATTAGTGTAAAGGCTATATCGCTGGACTCCCATGTAGTCGACCACGGTTCACGTCCTGGACCCAGTGGCTTAAAACTCACGCCCGGTGCGTGTGCATGCATGCCCAAGATCCTGAGAGGAGAATGGAGAAGGGATTGTGGTGTGGCCATCCCCTCTGGGGGGTGATTTCTCACTTTCTGTCTCTCTGTCTGTCTCTGTCTGTCTGGGGAGAGCACTATAGCAAAAAACTCTCAAAAAAAAAAAAAGGCTGCCTCCATCACAGCAAAGAATAAACAACAGTAAGAGAAAAAAGTAAGACACATTGAATAAAGTCCTTCCTAGATTGTAAGTGTACACAGAGTAATGACAGGACAGCATATTTGTTAAGATTATCCTTAATCAACTATATTCAGTAATACTGTTTTAAAAGAAAGGAAAAAACATTTTTGTAGAACCCTTTAAATCCAGATCATAAAGAGATTTTTAGAAACCCAGTGAGTAGTTAAGTAGCCTGTCCAAGACCATGTAGTAGTAAAGTTAGAAAACTCAAGTTTAGTAGAAAGCAATGAGTAAGTTTATTTTTTCAAGTCACCTTGAGAATTCCAAAATGACTTTAAAAGGTCTTTTGGACATTAATAGAATTATTTCACATGGAACACTGTGACGAGTAAGATAAATTTCTTACTCAGTCATTTATTTCATCTTATATGCCAACATGCCCTTTTAAGTACTATGGAGAAAAGAAAGCTGAAAAACCTATTTTTACATTAACTTTTCAAACCAGTTTACTCAGATTTCATGGTTTCATTTTACCTTGTTGAGCAATATCATGGTAGAGGCGCTCTACTCTAGAATTGTTTCGAAGAAGGTCCAAACACTGTCTATATGATTCCCACAGGAACTTCACCCATGGAGTTAAAAGCAATCTGTCAGTACGATCCTGCGTGTCTTCACCACTTACAGCACTCAGTAGCACACTAGAGAGACAGGAAAAAAGTCAAAATCATTTTAGACATAGCTTCCTGCTTTGCCTTATGATTAAAAAAAAAAATGCAATAATCAATCATAAAATATCCAAAGTTCTTCTGATACTTTTGCATTGTACAGTTGTAGCTATGTGCTAATTCAATTACCATCCTTTTTACAACTGTTTAAAATAGTATAATGCCTCTCTATATTAAGACTGTACAATTTCCTATTTTCACAATTTTTTAATATTACTTACATGTTTTCAGTCACTATACATTCAAATTTTTAAAGATAAAGTGTTCTCTCTGGTAAACTACTCCAAATGGGGATAATGAAGACTCACATTAACAACAACAACAACAAAAAAAAAAACACTGAGTTAACTATCAAAATATACATTAGAGATTTAGCCCACATACCTTTCAGGAGTTTGAATATTATCCAGATCTTCTATGTCTAAGACCATCTGCTGGGATTCTTCTTTAGCAGCTTCAGTTTTTTCCTCTGCCAATTTCAAATACGCCCTAACAACATCCTCTAGAGATTTGATGTTCACCTACCCGCCCCGAAATAAACAAATCAGAACTTAAAACTGCTTTTTCAATAAACCATAAGTGTTTAAAAGCCAAATTATGAGATTTAAGATTTATTTACTATGAAAGTTAAAAAATTTTTGTGAATTACTTAAAAGCACTTATTAAAAATAGAAAAAAACAGTTCTGTTTGTACCTGTTGACAAATGTTCTTATACTGGTATAGTCCTTCCTTAGCCAAGTGGCTCTTGCGAAGATCCACACAAAGTTCCAAGTATTTCAACATAATTGGCTCATGTATCTTTTGCCATGTTCTATGCTTCTTACTTTTCATAACATCATAAAGAACATCCAAAGCAGGTTGCTTTTTGCCAACCTCAAGAAATTCTGAAAAAGTAATGTAGGAGAATTAAAATAAGTCATGTAGTTATACAAAAACCTAATAAGCCTTTGTGTGTGTGTGTGTGTGTGTGTGTGTGTGTGTGTGTGTAAGTAACTGCCTGTTTTCTTAACTCATCACCAATTTTTTTTTAGGTCACACTTATTTTTTACCTCTAAAGCTATACCATACTTATCCAAGGTAAAAAAAGGAAAATACAGGTATTATCTCAAAATATGGTCTATAGGTGAAACTGAATTTCACTGTAGTGTATTTCTTTTCTTTCTTTTTTTAATTTGCTGGAGGGTGCTCATGGGGGAAGGAGAAGAAAGGACTATGAGAAAGAACTCTGCAATCCCTTCTCTAATTCTCATTTCAGGATTCTGCGCACGTACACACACGTGCCCAGAGTGTTTCTGAAACTTCCGTGTCTATAACTTGAACCAGTTAGCCATATGGGAATCAGCTGCTTTAATCACACAACACCAGCTGGCCTAATTCCATGGTGATTTAAAAGTTCCAGAAACTGAACTCATGAGGGGAAAAAAAAAAAAAAAAAAAAAAAAAATTCCCCTTGTAAACATAGAAAAGTTCAAGTATGCCTTCACAGTCATTGATATGGCTGGTGAAATTTTAACCAGTTTGTTAGACTTAAGATAGAAAAAAGAAAAGAAGAGAAAAGAAAAGAAAAGAAAAACATTAGATTGTATTATGCTACTATAATATCTTGGACTATATTCAAACTGGATTTATTCCTGGGCTTTCTATTCTGATCATTCTCTATTATAACCAATGGTCTACTCTTTTGCCAATACCACACTGTATAGATTTCTGTAGCCTTAAAAACCAGATAATGAGTGCTATAACTTGTTTTTCATAATTGTTGGATATACTCTAAGTATTCTGCCTTTCCATATAAATATTATCATCAGTTTGTAGGTATATACAAAACAACTCACTGGGATTATGATCAGGATTACAGACTATAAAGTTTGGAAGATCTGACCACACTGAGTCTTCTCATCCATGAATATGAATTCTCTCTCCACTTTTTACTCCTAAACATGAAAAAATTAAGACCAATCCCAACTAAAGAATGCTATGGTTTGAATCTCTGTATCTCTCCAAAATTCATGATAAAAACCCTGAATTTAACAGTATTAAGAGGTGGGGCTTTGGGGCCAGCAAGTGGTGTTATGTCGTTGGACTCTCACATGGCCGACCACAGATGGAATCCCAGACCCACTGGCTTGAAGATATGTTAGACATGTGTGCATGTGTGCCCAAGATCCCAGGAGAATGGCTTGGCCATCCACCCAGGGGGTGCTTTCTCACCTTCTCTCTGTCTCTCTCCCTCCTTTCCAGGAGGGGCGCACATTTGACCTACAGCAAAAACCTCTCAAAAAAAAAAAAAAAAAGAGGTGGGGCCTTTAGAGGTGATAGGATCATGAGGGTAAGTAAAACCATTATAAACAGACCTTACAAGGAGAGAATCCAGAATTAGCAGACCAACAGATGATGTAAGGATTATAATTGCTGGACTCCCACACAGTCAACCATGGTTCGAGTCCCAGACCCAGTGGCTTAAACCTCATGTGCGTGCATGCCTAAGATACCAAGAGGAGAAGGGATTGCAAAGTGGCTATCACCCCTGGAGGGATAATTTCTCACTTTGTTTTCCTGTCTCTCTGGTGAATGCACACACCCTATAACAAAAAATCTAAAAATATAAATAAATAAATAATAAATTTTTAAAAAACTAGCTATCCCCTTTTACACTTCTTGAGGAGGCAGTAACAAGGTACCATCTTGAGAAGAAACAGAACCAGCCCTCACCTGACACTGAATCAGCTAGCATCTTTTCTTTTTTCTTTATTTTAATGTGACCAGAGAGGGACAGAGCAAGAGAAAGTGAGAAAGCAAGCTGCCAGGTCCAGGACTCAAACCGCAGTAGATCGTGGGAGTCCTGCACCCTTAACCACCACGCCACCTGCCGGCCCCAATTGGCCAGCATCTTGATCCTGAACTTCCCAGTCTACCAAATTGAGGGAAATAAATTCCTGTTGCTTATAAATTATTCAGGCTGCAATGTTTCATTAGCAGCAAAAACAGACAAAGAAAAGAGATTCTACAAAATATCTAACCAGTATTTTTCAAAACTGTCATGGTCATCAAAAACAAGGAAAGTCTAAAATTGTCACAACCAAGAGGAGCTTTAGGAGACATGAAACTAAAAAATGTGGTATCCTGGATGGAATCTCAGAACAAAAATGGATGTTAACAGAAGCAGAGAAAACCTTTATAAAGCATTTTAGTTTTCTTTAATAACCATGTGTCACAGGCCAGCCCACATCCTGGAGGTTAATCATCTCACATGGATGACTACATGGTTCAAGTCCTGGATCCAAGGTGCATGTGCTTGAGTGCCCAAAATCCTGAAGAGAGAGAAAAATAGAAAAGGGACTGTGGTATGACCACGCCCCCTTGGGGGGAGGGGGGTACCCTCCCTCTTAGAGCACACATTGCCACTCTCTAGTAAATTAAAATTAGAACGAGAATGTGTCAGTATTGGTTCATTAGTTGTGACAAATGTATCGTTTTGAGGCAAGTTGTAAATTAACAAGGGAAACTGAGTATGACATAAATGAGAACTCTATACTGTCTTTAATTATGCAAATTGCAAGCTGTTCTAAAGTCAAATGTTTATCTCAAAGAAACTGAAAACAATGTTGGAAAATAGGGCAAAGTATCATAGTCTTGAATTTACCATGTCCTAAGCCTGAAAGGCTTATATATGTGGCAACTTTCCATCCACCCCAGCTTCAGCCAACTCATAGGGATCTTCAGATACAAATCCAGAACTCTACCAGGTGGGTTAGCCTCCCCAGACACTGCATTTTATCACTGCACCATCAGGGCCCTCAAATCATAGTCTTCACATGCAAACACAAAACTCTCACCATTTTAAGATAAAGTCCATCTTAAACTGAGGCAGTCTTTTCATTTTATTGTCATTATCTTATTTTATTTTATTGAAATTGGCCAGAGAAAGAGAATGAAAGAAAAGTGAGAAAACAAGCTGCCAGGTTCAGAACTCAAACTGCAGTAACCCACATGGAAGTCCAGCACCCTTAACCACCATGCAACCTGCCCAAGGGCCCTCTTAACTACCACAGAAAATCTTACTAAATGAAACAAAGATGTAATACTACTTGATACTTTGTTCCAATAAGCTTTTCCTGTTTTAATAGGGGACTAATATTTCTTTCTGTAGAGAGTCCTAAAATTAACTTCTGAAGTCCAAAAGCACTTCCATGTTTTCCACAATATAGTCTATATCAATCAAAAATTTAGGAGTAAATGCCTTTAGGTCAAGTTTATTCTTCACATTAAGGTAATCACAGCAGCAGCATTAAAATGAACTATTATATCCAACTCCCAGTCTTATATTGAGGATTTTATTCTTTTTTTTAGTAAGAGGTTTTGGCTTTAGGGCACGTACACTAGCAGGAGAGACACACAGTGAGAGGGTAAGAGGGAAATCACCCCCACCCCCAAGGGGATGGCAGTCCCTTCTCCATTATCCTCTGGGATCTTGTGCCTGATGTGAGTTTCAAGCCACTGGCTCAGGGACTCAAACCGGTCAACCATGTGGAAGCCCAGAAACGTAACTGCTACCCCATCTATCTGCTGGAACTACTATATATAAGCATCTTCTATACCTCTAACATGGAATAGGCACAAATTAAGTTAAAACTCAGAGCTAATCCCAGCTTAGGGTGAGGACAAAATACACAACTGTCTTAACAGTCCACTTCACAATCTCCTATTTTCGAATGGGGGAGTATGATTTCTTTTTTCCTTTCTTTTTTTTTTTTAGATTTCTGCTATAGAGCACATGTGGTCTCCAGAGAAACACAGACAGAAAGTGAGAAATACTCTCCACCCCTTGTGGGGAATGGCCACTCTGCAATCCCCCCCCCTTGCCTATCAGGATTGTGGGCGCTACTATGGAGAAAAGAAAGCTGAAAAACCTATTTTTACATTAACTTTTCAAACCAGTTTACTCAGATTTCATGGTTTCATTTTACCTTGTTGAGCAATATCATGGTAGAGGCGCTCTACTCTAGAATTGTTTCGAAGAAGGTCCAAACACTGTCTATATGATTCCCACAGGAACTTCACCCATGGAGTTAAAAGCAATCTGTCAGTACGATCCTGCGTGTCTTCACCACTTACAGCACTCAGTAGCACACTAGAGAGACAGGAAAAAAGTCAAAATCATTTTAGACATAGCTTCCTGCTTTGCCTTATGATTAAAAAAAAAAATGCAATAATCAATCATAAAATATCCAAAGTTCTTCTGATACTTTTGCATTGTACAGTTGTAGCTATGTGCTAATTCAATTACCATCCTTTTTACAACTGTTTAAAATAGTATAATGCCTCTCTATATTAAGACTGTACAATTTCCTATTTTCACAATTTTTTAATATTACTTACATGTTTTCAGTCACTATACATTCAAATTTTTAAAGATAAAGTGTTCTCTCTGGTAAACTACTCCAAATGGGGATAATGAAGACTCACATTAACAACAACAACAACAAAAAAAAAAAAACACTGAGTTAACTATCAAAATATACATTAGAGATTTAGCCCACATACCTTTCAGGAGTTTGAATATTATCCAGATCTTCTATGTCTAAGACCATCTGCTGGGATTCTTCTTTAGCAGCTTCAGTTTTTTCCTCTGCCAATTTCAAATACGCCCTAACAACATCCTCTAGAGATTTGATGTTCACCTACCCGCCCCGAAATAAACAAATCAGAACTTAAAACTGCTTTTTCAATAAACCATAAGTGTTTAAAAGCCAAATTATGAGATTTAAGATTTATTTACTATGAAAGTTAAAAAATTTTTGTGAATTACTTAAAAGCACTTATTAAAAATAGAAAAAAACAGTTCTGTTTGTACCTGTTGACAAATGTTCTTATACTGGTATAGTCCTTCCTTAGCCAAGTGGCTCTTGCGAAGATCCACACAAAGTTCCAAGTATTTCAACATAATTGGCTCATGTATCTTTTGCCATGTTCTATGCTTCTTACTTTTCATAACATCATAAAGAACATCCAAAGCAGGTTGCTTTTTGCCAACCTCAAGAAATTCTGAAAAAGTAATGTAGGAGAATTAAAATAAGTCATGTAGTTATACAAAAACCTAATAAGCCTTTGTGTGTGTGTGTGTGTGTGTGTGTGTGTGTGTGTAAGTAACTGCCTGTTTTCTTAACTCATCACCAATTTTTTTTTAGGTCACACTTATTTTTTACCTCTAAAGCTATACCATACTTATCCAAGGTAAAAAAAGGAAAATACAGGTATTATCTCAAAATATGGTCTATAGGTGAAACTGAATTTCACTGTAGTGTATTTCTTTTCTTTCTTTTTTTAATTTGCTGGAGGGTGCTCATGGGGGAAGGAGAAGAAAGGACTATGAGAAAGAACTCTGCAATCCCTTCTCTAATTCTCATTTCAGGATTCTGCGCACGTACACACACGTGCCCAGAGTGTTTCTGAAACTTCCGTGTCTATAACTTGAACCAGTTAGCCATATGGGAATCAGCTGCTTTAATCACACAACACCAGCTGGCCTAATTCCATGGTGATTTAAAAGTTCCAGAAACTGAACTCATGAGGGAAAAAAAAAAAAATTCCCCTTGTAAACATAGAAAAGTTCAAGTATGCCTTCACAGTCATTGATATGGCTGGTGAAATTTTAACCAGTTTGTTAGACTTAAGATAGAAAAAAGAAAAGAAGAGAAAAGAAAAGAAAAGAAAAACATTAGATTGTATTATGCTACTATAATATCTTGGACTATATTCAAACTGGATTTATTCCTGGGCTTTCTATTCTGATCATTCTCTATTATAACCAATGGTCTACTCTTTTGCCAATACCACACTGTATAGATTTCTGTAGCCTTAAAAACCAGATAATGAGTGCTATAACTTGTTTTTCATAATTGTTGGATATACTCTAAGTATTCTGCCTTTCCATATAAATATTATCATCAGTTTGTAGGTATATACAAAACAACTCACTGGGATTATGATCAGGATTACAGACTATAAAGTTTGGAAGATCTGACCACACTGAGTCTTCTCATCCATGAATATGAATTCTCTCTCCACTTTTTACTCCTAAACATGAAAAAATTAAGACCAATCCCAACTAAAGAATGCTATGGTTTGAATCTCTGTATCTCTCCAAAATTCATGATAAAAACCCTGAATTTAACAGTATTAAGAGGTGGGGCTTTGGGGCCAGCAAGTGGTGTTATGTCGTTGGACTCTCACATGGCCGACCACAGATGGAATCCCAGACCCACTGGCTTGAAGATATGTTAGACATGTGTGCATGTGTGCCCAAGATCCCAGGAGAATGGCTTGGCCATCCACCCAGGGGGTGCTTTCTCACCTTCTCTCTGTCTCTCTCCCTCCTTTCCAGGAGGGGCGCACATTTGACCTACAGCAAAAACCTCTCAAAAAAAAAAAAAAAAGAGGTGGGGCCTTTAGAGGTGATAGGATCATGAGGGTAAGTAAAACCATTATAAACAGACCTTACAAGGAGAGAATCCAGAATTAGCAGACCAACAGATGATGTAAGGATTATAATTGCTGGACTCCCACACAGTCAACCATGGTTCGAGTCCCAGACCCAGTGGCTTAAACCTCATGTGCGTGCATGCCTAAGATACCAAGAGGAGAAGGGATTGCAAAGTGGCTATCACCCCTGGAGGGATAATTTCTCACTTTGTTTTCCTGTCTCTCTGGTGAATGCACACACCCTATAACAAAAAATCTAAAAATATAAATAAATAAATAATAAATTTTTAAAAAACTAGCTATGCCCTTTTACACTTCTTGAGGAGGCAGTAACAAGGTACCATCTTGAGAAGAAACAGAACCAGCCCTCACCTGACACTGAATCAGCTAGCATCTTTTCTTTTTTCTTTATTTTAATGTGACCAGAGAGGGACAGAGCAAGAGAAAGTGAGAAAGCAAGCTGCCAGGTCCAGGACTCAAACCGCAGTAGATCGTGGGAGTCCTGCACCCTTAACCACCACGCCACCTGCCGGCCCCAATTGGCCAGCATCTTGATCCTGAACTTCCCAGTCTACCAAATTGAGGGAAATAAATTCCTGTTGCTTATAAATTATTCAGGCTGCAATGTTTCATTAGCAGCAAAAACAGACAAAGAAAAGAGATTCTACAAAATATCTAACCAGTATTTTTCAAAACTGTCATGGTCATCAAAAACAAGGAAAGTCTAAAATTGTCACAACCAAGAGGAGCTTTAGGAGACATGAAACTAAAAAATGTGGTATCCTGGATGGAATCTCAGAACAAAAATGGATGTTAACAGAAGCAGAGAAAACCTTTATAAAGCATTTTAGTTTTCTTTAATAACCATGTGTCACAGGCCAGCCCACATCCTGGAGGTTAATCATCTCACATGGATGACTACATGGTTCAAGTCCTGGATCCAAGGTGCATGTGCTTGAGTGCCCAAAATCCTGAAGAGAGAGAAAAATAGAAAAGGGACTGTGGTATGACCACGCCCCCTTGGGGGGAGGGGGGTACCCTCCCTCTTAGAGCACACATTGCCACTCTCTAGTAAATTAAAATTAGAACGAGAATGTGTCAGTATTGGTTCATTAGTTGTGACAAATGTATCGTTTTGAGGCAAGTTGTAAATTAACAAGGGAAACTGAGTATGACATAAATGAGAACTCTATACTGTCTTTAATTATGCAAATTGCAAGCTGTTCTAAAGTCAAATGTTTATCTCAAAGAAACTGAAAACAATGTTGGAAAATAGGGCAAAGTATCATAGTCTTGAATTTACCATGTCCTAAGCCTGAAAGGCTTATATATGTGGCAACTTTCCATCCACCCCAGCTTCAGCCAACTCATAGGGATCTTCAGATACAAATCCAGAACTCTACCAGGTGGGTTAGCCTCCCCAGACACTGCATTTTATCACTGCACCATCAGGGCCCTCAAATCATAGTCTTCACATGCAAACACAAAACTCTCACCATTTTAAGATAAAGTCCATCTTAAACTGAGGCAGTCTTTTCATTTTATTGTCATTATCTTATTTTATTTTATTGAAATTGGCCAGAGAAAGAGAATGAAAGAAAAGTGAGAAAACAAGCTGCCAGGTTCAGAACTCAAACTGCAGTAACCCACATGGAAGTCCAGCACCCTTAACCACCATGCAACCTGCCCAAGGGCCCTCTTAACTACCACAGAAAATCTTACTAAATGAAACAAAGATGTAATACTACTTGATACTTTGTTCCAATAAGCTTTTCCTGTTTTAATAGGGGACTAATATTTCTTTCTGTAGAGAGTCCTAAAATTAACTTCTGAAGTCCAAAAGCACTTCCATGTTTTCCACAATATAGTCTATATCAATCAAAAATTTAGGAGTAAATGCCTTTAGGTCAAGTTTATTCTTCACATTAAGGTAATCACAGCAGCAGCATTAAAATGAACTATTATATCCAACTCCCAGTCTTATATTGAGGATTTTATTCTTTTTTTTAGTAAGAGGTTTTGGCTTTAGGGCACGTACACTAGCAGGAGAGACACACAGTGAGAGGGTAAGAGGGAAATCACCCCCACCCCCAAGGGGATGGCAGTCCCTTCTCCATTATCCTCTGGGATCTTGTGCCTGATGTGAGTTTCAAGCCACTGGCTCAGGGACTCAAACCGGTCAACCATGTGGAAGCCCAGAAACGTAACTGCTACCCCATCTATCTGCTGGAACTACTATATATAAGCATCTTCTATACCTCTAACATGGAATAGGCACAAATTAAGTTAAAACTCAGAGCTAATCCCAGCTTAGGGTGAGGACAAAATACACAACTGTCTTAACAGTCCACTTCACAATCTCCTATTTTCGAATGGGGGAGTATGATTTCTTTTTTCCTTTCTTTTTTTTTTTTTAGATTTCTGCTATAGAGCACATGTGGTCTCCAGAGAAACACAGACAGAAAGTGAGAAATACTCTCCACCCCTTGTGGGGAATGGCCACTCTGCAATCCCCCCCCCCTTTGCCTATCAGGATTGTGGGTGCGTGCGCATGTCCCCGGCATGAGTTTTAAACTGCCAGGTCCAGGACTTGAACTACATTTGACTTTGCAGGCATCCAGCGATGTAACCATTATGCCATCTGCTGGTCCCAGGAGTGTGGTTTCTTTCTTTCCTTTTTTTTTTTTTTAACTTTATCCATTTATTTATTTACTTCAATTTGACCAGAGAGGGACAGAATGAGAGAGAGAAAGTGAGAAAGCAACCCTCTAGGTCCAAGTCTCTAACCACATTCGGTCATGTAGGAGTCCAAAGCCCTTAACTACCACTCCGCATGGTCCTGGAAGTGCAGTTTCTTTATATCACTCTAAAAAAAGTCTTGTGATAGAACTAAAAGAATCATTTCCTAAACATATTTTTTTTAAAGAATTACTAGTTTAACTATACTTATCTTAATTTTACCAAAGAGAGACAGACGAAGAGAGAGAGAGGGAGAAAGAGAGAGCAAACTGCCAGGTCCAGGACTCAAACTACAGTGGGCCACAGTCCACAGTCCACAATCCCCAACCACTATGCCATCTGCCAGTTCCACTTCCTAAAACTTCTAATGAAAAGTTCTAATTCCAAACCCCATACTTTCTAACTGAAACAATCCTGAACACGCACATGAAGAAATAATTATTTTTTTATAGGATGGGCACCCCCTTCCCAACCAACTTTTGGTTTTGTTTTGTTTTGTTTTGTTTTTTAAGAGAGTTTTGCCATAGGACACATGAGCTCACCAGAGAGAGAAAGTGGGAGATCACCCCCCAGGGCAGATGACCACCCTGCAATCCCTTCTGTCCCAAACTCCTCTTGGGATTTTGGGCATCCAAAGTACACATGCCTGGCTTAAGTTTCAAGGTGAACTCAAACAGCAGTCAGTCAAGTGGGAGCCCAGCGCCTTAACCACTATGCCATCTACTAGCCTTATCCCAACTTTTTTTTTTTCCAGTTACATTCAATTTTTTTAATTATTAATTCGGGCTACATCTGAAGTACACTGCACTTATTTGCAGAGACTTTTTACAAATGATCAGTAATAGAAAGTGAAACTTAAAAAGGAAATTACAGACTCATTCCACATGTGAGATGCATTTTTTAAAGAATTATTTTATTAAACTTTATTCATTCATTCATTCATTCATCTCTTTTAATTTGACCAGAGAAGGACAGGGTGAAAGAGGTTGGCCATGTGGGGAGTCCAGCACCCTTAACCACCACACCACCTGCTAGCCCCAAGATGCAGTAAAAAGAAAACATGGGAACCATCAGTTCGCTTAATGGCTATGTGACTAGACTCCCACGTAGTCGACCATGGTTCAAGTCCCAGACCCAGTGGCTTAAACTCAGTGGCTTAAACTCATTTGGGTCATGGGAGTCCCCAAGATCCCAAGAGGAGAATGGAGGAGAGGGGATTGTAGAATGGCCACCCCCCTGGGGGGGGGGTAATTTCTTGTTTTCTGTCTCTTGTCTTTTTGGTGAGCACACAAGCCCTACAGCAAAAACCTCTCCCCCCCCCCAAAAAAAAGAAAGAAAAATAAAACATGGATAGCCAATAAGGATGCTTATAAAAGAAAAAAATAATTTAAACTAGTACAGGAACAAAATCTTCATGACAAAACATGACAGTGAGTCCTCCTAGCTTTATTCAAGTTTATATAAAGGGTCTTCAAAAAATCGGGGCCAGCAGGAGGCGTGGTGGTTAAGGGCATTGGACTCTCACATAGCTGACCACAGTTCAGTTCAAGTCCCAGACCTGGTGGATTGTGTTCTCTTTCTCTTTCTCTCCCCCTGCCCCTCTTGCTTATCAAATATAAAAATGAATAAAGCTGAATAAAATTATTTTTTTAAAATATTTATGGGGGGACCAGCAGTTAGCATAATGGCTATGTCGCTGGACTCCCACGTAATCAACCGCGGTTCGAGTCCTGGATCCGGTGGCTTAAATGGCATGAAGAAGGGACTGAGCCATGGCCATCCCCCCGGGGGGTGATTTGTCACTTTCTGTCTCTGTCTCTCTCTGTCTTTCCAGCAAACGCATGTGCCCTATAGCAAAAACCTCCCCAAAAATAAAAAAATTTTTTCATGAAAAATCTGTGCTATGACAATACCACAGGTGGACTTCAAATTTTTTTTTTTACAACAGAATAAACTCAAATTTTGACTCCTTTTTTTTCTTTGCACTGTTTGGAATCCCCTGGTATATACACAAAGCAGATATAGTTCCTCTGAACTGCCTATCAATATTCGGGGAGAAAAAGCTTTAGAGGCTGGAAAGTGGTATCAAACAATAAAGGCTTTATTTCAATACTTAAATGTTAGTTTCCAGAAAAATATTCAATAAACTAAAAATAAAATCTGGAATTATAAACTATTAGTAGGAAGGTGGGCATTCTCAGTTTACTTCAGACACATAACTGAAAGAAACTATTATCTAAAGTTTAGATCAGCTCTTCATTTTTACCACAATATTGAACAGTTTGTTTATGCAACAGACCAGATACATAAACTAGAATGTTACTCAACTTGTAGGTTTAATAACAACCTTCTTTTTTAAGGCATTGGTTGTAGTGCAAATCAAAGGGCTGTTAAAGGGTCAGTAGCAGTTAGTTGGTCACTACCAACATAAAGTGGAAAGGAGGCCTTCACCAAATGATTACAGGACATGAATTCTTGTCTGAGCCAAATTCTCATCTTCCCAAATTACAATAATGTTTTCCGAAAATACTGCTCTGATATACAGGTTCAGGGTGACTTGAAGGACTACTTACGTTTATTTACATTTTATTAAGTTAATGCAATGGGTTGTCTAAATATGTTTGGGTTACTGTTACAGATAAAATATTACATAAATCGAGATAATTTCTTCTGTGTGAAGTGTCTTTCTACTGTCCTGTTTAATGGTAAGCAGTGCCATATCTACTTGCCTGAACACTTGAAGTATTCCCTCACAAGACCAAAGGTATGGTAGTTACTATTTGGAAATCATGGCATCTACCACAGAAACAAACTCCTATCCTACAGCTTAAAATGGAATCAGCAGAGTCAACACAGCCTTTAAACAAACTCCACCAGCCCCCTATACACAGTATTCCTTTCTCATCTTGCCTACTTTAATTTCAGATGCTTTCTCTAACATGCCCTTCATCAACAGTCTATTTTGACAGGCCAGCTGAAGGGTTGATACACATTACATCCTTTCTAATTTTAAAAAATTACCCAAATACTAAATTCATCCAGAGAGAGCAGTGATGAAGAAAAAGTGTGAAAACTACAAACGTAATGGAGAGTACAGTGCTTCAGCCTACTAGCATGGCAAAAATGCCTGTTGCTAAAGCATGCAACTGACTAAATCTACTAAAGCTATGCAGAGCAGTAATTTCGGTAAGCACTGTGTATACCATCACATAACTCTTAAGTTTCAAAATGTAAAAAAAAGTCTTAACTTTGCTACAGCTTAGTTTGTAGTGATAAATTTCCATTTCGATCTATTTTCCTTCCTATAAATTAATAAATGTCCCTAAACTACCTGCCTGTTCTAAACACTTGACTGCTGATTAGTATGACACTGATCAGCTCTATATTGTATTTCAGTAGGATTTTAAGACAATTATTCCACACAATGTCAAATGATGATTATTTCACTCACCGTCCCCAAGCCCAACCCCAGAAATTGTTACTTTTAGTTTAAAAATAAAAAGTATGTGACCAACACATCTCTGGTCTTCACGGATTATCAGTAGTATCAATTCTATGTAATGACTCACAATGATCCTTCACAAGATGAATTTTCAAACAAGCTAACAAAATAAGCTCTATAAACACAAATTGTAACAGACGCGGTATACCCGTCTACGACAATGACAAGACTCAAAACTCGTGTGAGAGTGAAAACAGAAGCTACAGGCGCCCTAAAACTTAAAAATTGTTGGGTTAAAAAAAAAAAAAAACTAAAAGTTTTTAAAGACCAGACATATGCAGACAATATCTGCACCCCCACAAACCAACGTTACGCAAGTTTTTAAAGAGATGAGGATACAAGAGTCCTCCTTCCCGCAAGCAACCACGGCTTAAATGCACGAATGCAAACTTAAATCACAAGCAGAGCTGTGGAAAAAGAAAACACTGATCTGGATGTCAAGAGACTAGTTATAGTCTCCTGACTCGACAACTAACTCCCCGAGTGACCTTGACAAAAACCATTCTCTCCAGGCCTGTTTGTTACCTTTAAGAGAAGACCTAAAGTCCCCTTATAATATTAACTCTGCTCCAACTTCCTGTGACTCGAAACTGGCTTTCGGATTGGCCCTAATCAATGCCAAAAAGAAAAACCAGGAAAAAAGTTAAATGGGTAAGAGGCCTGTAAGTGGATATTACGTGGTGGGGGAAGTGTGAGTGGACCCTGACCCAGCAGAGCACCGCGCAGGGCTTGGGGGGTCGGAGGTGTCCGCGGGAAGGCCGAAGGTGGGACTCTAGGGCTCCCGGCTCCGGCAGGAGGTGGAGCTGAGGTTCTCGCGTGCATTGTCCCCGGGAGGGAGCCATGTTTCTTCCTCCCCGGCACTCCCAGATGGCGGCCGGGGGCGAGGGGCCTAAGCAGACGAAAGCTCCGCGACTTGGACAACTACCCGGAGGCGAACAGAGAATGGAGCTCTGGCCCAAGGAGGGCCTGTCTCCGGAACCAGAAGGCTGCGGAAGTTAGGGCTCCCGAGGCGACGGTTCCCGGTTCCCGGCTCCCGGCTCCGCGCCTCCCACCTCTCGGTCGGTGAGAGCAGGAAGGGAAACCATGCCCAACCACAGGCTGGGCCAGCGGCGGGCCGCACTAGCCTCCTCTCCGGCCGCAGCCCGGGCAGCGGAGAAGTGGAAAGCAGGCCGAGGCCCTCGACCTCCGAGGCCTCAGGCCGCTTCAACCTGGCGCGCCCCGATTCCCTACTCACCGTTGGCACGTTTGAGGGCATTTTCCGGCCTCTGGAAATAGGCCGGCATCTTGGCGGCAGGCTCAGCTCACCCGGGGTCAGCGAACTCCTTAGTGGCCCGGGCCGGAAGAGGACACGGAGGGGAACCAGCTCGCGGTTCCACGCGCCTCGCCAGCAGTCGCCCGCGCCCAGCCGACCAGAGACGGAAAGGAAAGGGCCACGTGACCCCCGCGCGGCGGCACTGCCGCCGCCCAGGCCCCGGATGTAGGAGCGCAGCCCTCCCCGCGCGCCTGCGCGCTGGCGTCACGCCGGCCACGTCGGCCCGCGCCCCTC